GAGAGGGAATAACTGCCTGTCTCCGGCAACTCTTTGTTCATCATAAACAAAAGCAAGAAACTTCCAATTACCTTTTAAACAGTGGAGGGGAGTTATAGAAAACCCTATTAGCTGGGAACCGACTGGGCTGGGCACATCAGTACTTCACGACAGTTAAGAAAGCAAGCTACTACTGTAGTGAGGGACCCCAAAGAGCAACCCTTCTTCTCCTATGGAGACAAGCAGTCTGGTAAGAACATCATGAGGAAGAACCTAGTACGAACAGCAGGAAAAGCTGCCGTCATGAAGACTAATCACGATTTCCCAAATACAATTCAGAGAAGGTAGCTTTTTAGAGGACACAAACACAGAGAAAGCCAAAAAGACTCAAGGCAACTTTTGCTTAAACGAAAGGCCAGGACTTTATTTATCTTGTCTCTGCCACTGGCTTTTTTAGCACAAGCACCTCTCACCAAAACATAGCGGAGGGTAAACACAGTTTACCCACCTGTAATTTGAGTGCTGCCGCAGTTACCCATTTACCACCACTCAGCCTGGACCACTAAACAAACAGGTTTGCGTGCTTTCCCACAGCTTAGCCAGAGGTAATTCTGCAAATGACACGGTAAGAGCTGAGCAGTTCAACATCCCTCAGACAGGTGCTAGTTGCTTCTGCAGCCTCCACCTTCTACCCGGCCATTAGGCCCACAGCTAGGAAGGACACTAACAAATGAAAAGGCAAAAAAACAGTACTACGGATCAGAACAGATGAAGGAAACGCTGCTTACCCTGAAGAAAGAAGATGAGAAAATAGACAAAGTACAGAGATGAGTCCTGGAGAAGGTGACCTGAATTACAGCAGTTCATGGGGCGGTACCCTCGGAGGGTCACCCTCCAAGTACATAATTAGTGCCAGGCCTGAGAAAAAAAACACTGTTACTAAGTTAATGCAGCCAAGGGTAGAGGGGGGAGCTTGGGAATTGGGTGGACAGGGCACAGAGGGTACATTGTCTTTCTTAATATAGAAGGAGCAATGATGAAAGAAGCAGACTTTCCTCACCCACAGCCAAGGCCTGGCGAAAATCAAGAGAAGCCACTGTAGAGATCAACTCAGAAGATCACTGCTGCTTTGGTAGAGTGGTAAGGCCTGAACAGTGCAGATAGCTTCCAAGGAAAAGCAATTTTTCTTTAAAAGGTGAAGAACAAAGGGTTTTTCCCCCACCCCCCTTCTTTCCCCTCACCCCCTCCACCCAAATAAAGTGTAAACATTCAACCCCAACACACTGAATTCTGGCCACCCTTTGTGCAGCTGAATGTGCCAAATTTATGCTAACCTACGCAGAAGAATATTATTCCCATTATGCAGTATATCATCTGTAAAAATGAAACAGAATACAGAATTAAAATAGATGGAAGATGAACAATAAAGGGATTAAGATCTAAACTGTTAAGATTTAGTCTAAAAAATCATATTTTATTCTAAAACTACATATATAACAATGTATTTGAAAACTTTGTTCTTCGCTTTTAAGGCCATGTTATACTGAAGAGCCCTGTAGCTTGAGTTAGGCTGTGCTGTCACATCAAAGTACACCTGGAAGGAAGCAGCAGATGTGGGAGGAGGGAGAAAGAAGTATGTAGCCTGGAGAGTTCGGAAACTATCTCCACTGAAGAGGAAAGAAAGACAAGTTAGATGAAGGGGAGGAGGGAAAACGTTAAAACACACCAACTGTGAAGAAAAGACTGGGAACAGACTTTGCTTGTAAACCATAACACTAGCAGCTGCCCTTACACTTCACCACTGTTAATGAAGACTTTCATAATTGCCTCAGTAGTCAAAATGAGCATATCCCCACATGATATATATACATACACATATGTATTTGAACAAAAGATGTTGAATGATAAACTATGCTAATATATCCCAATTCCTTTAAGTAGAAGTTAAATAATATTCTGTTGAAGAATACAAATTTAAGGTCAACAAGCCCTTAAAATGACAGGCTCGGAAGTTGCTAGCATAAAAATATTGAATGTTTACGAGGACATACAAGTTCCAGAGGAGAACTAGTTACATACAGTTCATTATAGTTTTATAGTTAAAATGTGACTGTGTTTAAAAAAAGAGAGAACAAAACCAGAAAGCACACACACTTACTGTGTCTGTGCTATTCCTGAAAAACTGGCACCCTGTTACTCCTAACCAGTAACTTAAAGCTCCTGCATCTATCGAGCACCTTGCACCCAAAACTATGCTTATTTTAATCAAAGGCCTTACAACACACGCAGACAAGCACTATGTTCATGACTAACTCTGCGAAAGCTACCTTCCCTTTCTACTTCTTGCTCTTCCCACCTGAACTCCTCCAACCTGATGCACTGCCATGCATTTCTTCAGTCTAAGGTAAACTGTTGAAATGGGAACCCACCATGAAGCTAAAAACCTAAAAATCAAACAAGAAAACACATTCAACCCACAGAAAACAAAATACAGTGGCAACCTACCACTTACGCTCTAAGGGATCAGAAATTAAATGATGATACTCAGTTCAAGCAGCAAAGAGCATCAGCAACAGGACATGGTCTGATCAACTAAAATTACAGAAGAGCTTTCTAAAATTTTGACCAATAGCTGGATGGATCCTTCTTCATCAAAAAGCAAAGCACTCTGAACTGAAAGAGTAGGTGGATGCTTAAGCCTACATATGTTTTAAATAAAGAAAGCCTCAATGTATTTCCTTTCAATCAGGAAATATGCTTATAGACATATATTTATCATGCATTCTGAACAGATCCTATACCATTGCTTACCCCATAGAGAACAGTCCAATTCTCCCTACAGAAGGCAGAAACGTGGGACGTATATGTTTGAACACTTCACCAGTGAGTGCTGTAATTAAGCCTGCCTCTTCATGAAAGATCTTCAAAGGGCACCAGGGAAAAAAACGTAAGCCTCAGGGGCACAGTCTTTCTTCTGTGATCTTCCTTCACTGGAATCCCTCCCACATCAATCTGGGAAGAAACCGTACCCTACTTTACAGAAAAAGCAGTACCAAAGCCAAAGTCTGTTGCACTGGAAAGAAAATCAGCACCTAGCTGGAGCTACCTCACCATCTAAGACTTCCGATTATGCAAGGCAGCCACGCCCCCATTCACGGAGGGGACTGATATTCACCTAGTGCTTCACTTCGCCACGGGTCTTTAAGGGAAACTGCCGAAGTATTCAACCTGTACAATGCAATAACCTAAGCACAAGTCTCTGAACTCTGAAAATTGCCAGTGGTTTTGACTAGCCTCTTTCTGCTCTATGCCAGCTGTCTGCAACTAGCCCTCCCGCGTGCCTTGGCTACCCAGTCATGATACCATGTTATACTTCAGCTGGATCTGTGTTAGCATCCCTTCTGTACTCTGCCACTCCCACCTCCTCCACCGCGGTTTTCTGAAGCAAAATCTGCCTACTCCTCTGTCCAATTGCCTCCATTTTGAATTAGTGTGCTTTGCACTTTCATAATCCATACATATTAATCTTAAAGCTTCATTCAAGTCTGTCCAAGCATTCCTCTTCAACTGCATGTTGTTATTGCAACATGGCAGGGCTACTGGATGATCAGAAATAAGATTTCTGTTAGGTTTTTTGCATACTTTTACAAAGTCAACCACAATATTTTCATATTAGATTGTTTTGCCATTAGTTAATTTTCCGTAGCGTGGATTCTGCTCAAAATATCAGCTGCTGTGCTGCACAATACTGCTACACATATTCAGAACAAAAGTTTAGGGAAAAACAAAAACTACTTCCTTCCAAATAATAACTGATTGCTGAAGCCAGTCCCCTCTCACTTTCTGGGCCCCCATTATGATCAAGTCACTAGGAAGAAATAGTTTTCCTAAAAGCTGCAGCTGTTTTGTCAACATAATGCCTTACCGGCAAACAAGTTTAGTAACTCACGTTGCCATTTTCCATGTGGTTTAAGAATGCAAAGGTCTACAGCAACATTCCTAAGCACCTGCGTTTCAAATACCAAGAGTGACCCATTTTGAAATCTAGTTCTTAATGTGTAGTAAGTACTGTAGAAAATAGACAACAGAGGAACCCTGGGCAGCAGGAAAGAGACCTCCAGCATGATGCAGAGAGGCAGCAAGGAGACTGCCAGCATCACAGCAAGTACTGTATAGCCTCGCAGCTAACAAATAGGAATGACCTAAGGCTACATGAACTTTGACCCCTCAAATCTCCAACATCAAAAAATGCATAGGTTCTCACTTCATTTTATTACTCAGTAAACAAGAGAGATGGTTACAATGAAGGTGTGTTACAAGTCAAAGCAAAACATGAATATGGTACATCACATCTTTCATTATGAAGCATTCCACATTTTATTCCTTGACTACACTTTTGCGTACCGAACACATGCAGTTGTGATGTACAGCCAGTCATTTTCCCCTCTACAGTCAGGGACCCGGCTCAATACATTTCCAGCCACCTTGTATATTATCAGGCTTTATACCGGCTCTAAGCCTACCACATGATCTCACTCCTTCTCCTCAGTTAACTGAAGAGATCACCTTACATTAGAAAAGAAGCCGCTGGGGAAGAAAAGGTATATTTAAACATGCAAGCAATGGGAAATTATATCCTGTACTTTGAGCAAGATAATATTTCTCTATTTTAAAAAAGAAAAAAAAGAAATTATGTGTGGGTGGGGGACGGGAAAAACATGAAGAAGCAGTCACTTTTTCTAAATGAAAATATTCATAAAGTTTTTTTTTCAGTAGTGCTCTTATTTCTTAGGAGCACAGACTGCAGTAGAGAGGAAAAAAAAACAAAACCATACAACTCTATTCACATACCTGCTAGACTTTAAAAACCGTCCTAGAATGTGGTACCTTACTATAAAATACATTAGTAGGAAGATCATTCAAGAGAAAATAATTGTTTTCATCTTGCTGTTTTAAAAATTGAGTATGAAAAAATGAACACATTTAGCAAGCTGATGTAATGTAAAAACTTAAATACTTACTGCGTAGGAGCCTATGAGGAATGCAGCATTTGCTTGTTTTTTCTGATCAAAGCCAGTATAATGAATTATTTTCTTCCTTATCAATGAAAATGACTGTATCAAGAAATGAACAAGATTATGATTTTGCGTTTTAGGCTTTTCATACCTTCTTTTATAAAATTAGAAGAATGCAAGGGCCTGTTTACCTACTTTCAGCCACATGTATTCAGAGGACCAAGTATACTGTTGACTAGGCCTCAAAAGCTTTGGAAGATTCTGCTGCATCCCTACCTAGATTGTTCCAGTATTTTTCCCGGTATCCAGCCTAAATAACTTTTGATACAAATTACAGTAATCTTTCTTTTTCTCCTTAAATGCACTTAGTATTTCTGACTTCAAGCCCTATGTAACAGATAGGCGTTTATGAGAAGTAAATACAAAGTGGCATTCTCAAAAACATCACATGCATGTTAAAGTCGCAATAGTTTTGAAAACAGAATTTAGACTTTTTTATCCTTAAAGAAAACCTGACTCTAGATAAATCAACTAGTAGTTGTTTCTAAGGATCAGAACCACTGGAAAATATATGCTTAGATTAAAATATTTTTAAAGTATTTCTAAACTTTATAGTAAATAACTTTTTAAAATTTCATCTCAGCTTGGCATATAGTTTCTCCAGTTATCTCAGAAAGGGGGTTGAACAGCATTGCCAATAGAAAGGACACTTATATCGGTGGTGGCAGCAAAAACTATCCCCTAACTGGCTCTTGAAACAAACTGTGATGCGCTTGAAACTGTATACTTTGATCAACTGCTAAGCTATCATAAAATGTCACTATTTAAATAGCACTGTTACTTGCTCAGATACTATTCAATGCACTCAAGACAAATAAACTTCAGATCACTAGCAGTAGTATGTTCTCACCAATCCTAACATGCCTCTCCAATATCAAACCCAAGATATTCAAAGGGATGATAATATAGACTTGTGTTGCTTCAGAGCATCCTGTAAACAAAAATCAGAGAATCTTGTCTCTGGCAAACCTGTTTGTAGTGCCACAGGGACAAAGTGACTCTAAATTATGCAAGCTAATACCAGTGACAGCCATCAAGGAATAAAAAAAAAAAAACAAAAAAAAACCAAACCTCTGTTAAATTATAATGTTCTGCGTACTTCCCTATTTTCACAGTTCAGTGGCATTTTCAAGATCTAAGCAGTTTTGAAGAGGCAAACTGTGATTCACATTAATGCTAATAAGCTTTTTTATCTGCCTAACAGGTTTTATACTCCAGCATCTGTTAGAGGTCAACTAACTTGAAGTCATTCGTATTAATTAACATAGGAACTCTCTGTTTTAAAGACACTATGCTCTATCAAGAGTCCAATCCCAAAAATTACTGGGCACCCCTCAGAGAAGATAATCTTTTAGGAGCTTAGCATCAGTTACTGCCACAGAGGTTCATCTTCTGGATCTTAAAAGTAAGTGAGTTTTCCGTCCTGATCCTCCTCCTCCCTAAATTCACCTTGATAAAATTTAGCATTCATAGTCAAAACTTAGCTGCATTAGGAACCCAGAAAAACATCTGAACAAAAAAAAAAAACGTTTGGCCCATTTGTTTTTGTTCTTTAAAAGTCAAGAATATTGAATGAAAAAAAACCAAGTGTTACCTTTAATTTCTTATTTAGCTTGCAGCAGTATCTGTAGACCATTGCCAGATTGAGTGGTCCAAAGTCTGCATAGAAGCTGGTATGAGAAAGGGGAAAAATTGTACGTGACCTCTGTAAACGCCTTTTTTTTTTTTTTTTAAACAGATGCACAAAGCAAGGAGTAATAATATACATCTGATATATGTGCATCATTCTAAAAACAAGAATGCCTTCTTACATAAATACTCTTTTGTTGGAGGAAACAGTTTTGTCATCTTTAAGCAGGGACTAAAACTTTTTTCTTTGTTTTCCACATACCACTACTCAAAATGGAATACTCAGGGTTTGAAAAATTCTCACTACTTTATCACTCTCTGGCACCAGTTTAGAAACTCTTATTTTAAGAGCAACCCAAAAGCTTTACTTTAAAGGAAGGCAATTAATATTGCTAGAGAAAAGTGAACACGGAGAAGAAAGATTGATTAGTATTTTCAAAAACAGTAAGCATGCCCTTGGTCAAAAATATTTGAAGAATTAGCAGAATTCCAGATAACATACAGAGGCATACACTGTTCACTACAGGGGAAATAATATATCCATTGTCAGCTCATAAAGGCTTGAATTGATTTTCCCAGTTTTTTCTCATATTCTAGGAAGTTTAGACATTCCACTTAATACTTGAGAAACCAAAGACACCCCCTTCAGCTTGGCAGTCCAGTGCACACTTCTGAATATATACTGTTGCATCATGTTCCTGTGTCTTCTAACAAGAATGGGTACAATGAAAGCTTCTGCTTTGAAAAGATTTTTAAGAAATCCTGATGGGAAGCCAAGAAACCATTCTAAGATAAATAAATCATCATGGCAGATAAGTCTGACAGGACCAAACTCGTGTTATTAGTTCTATAATGCAAATGTATGTTATTCTCAGCTACATTTAAAAACAGAATGTCAATTAGACTGGTTCCTCATTGCTGTTGTTCTGACTAATTTATTTCAATTATCTGTAAAAAACAGGAAAAAGTAAGTCTGTACTTACTTCTCATATACAAGTTCATCATCTATGCAGAAATAATGGGTATTTGCAGCTCCACTCTTTGGTTTTTGGCAGAGAATTGCAAAATAAAGGCGATCTGAAATGCAAGAAAATTTGAAGCTTTTATCAACATCACACTTTTCTGCTGAAAGTCTGAGTACTACCCGTCAACAGAACAACTTTAAATGGTTTAAAATGAACTGAGTCTTCTTTTAAGTATTACCGAACCAGACATTATTATTTCTCCGGTGTTAAGCAACAAGGCACACAAAGATCGAGGCTTTCTGCTCAGCAGTGTTCTTGCAATCTGCAGCTCCGTAGTGTTCCTTCCCAAACAAAGCATTCCCAGGAAAGCTACCTGTTTGGCGACTCTGCAATACAGCAGGAGCCCAACTTGCACCCACGCACACAGCAAAGACACACCTCCTTTTGGCAACAGACCCCACCTGTTGCACTCTGAATACCAGCACATACACACCCTCCCCACAACTAAGCCACAAATCCCTCAGCACCTCATGGCACCTACATTAAACTAAACAGCTCCTGCCAAAACGCAGGCACTTCCCATCTTTCCGTAAAACGATGATTTTGACAATAGCAGCGTGCAATTAAAAGCCTGCAGGCAGCAGACGCCAGAGAGATGCGAGGGGGCGAGGCGGCAGCCCACTGCCACCCGCGGGAGCACCAACCAACGGAGCCACTGCCTGGACATCCCCATCAGCACCCCCATCCCCATCCCCATCCCTACCCCAGCTGCCCCTTCAAAGCCAGCCTGCACACAGGCAGGAGGCACCTTGTGCTTGCCCTGCTTTCCTTTGTTAAGCTGAGGGGGAAAAAACGCCAGCGGTATTCACATATAAATTATTTTCATGGCCGGGGGAGCTGTAGCCCCAGTGAACTTTAAACACTGACTGTGCTGCTGCTGTAAATTGCTGTGCTTGCGGTAATTGGTCAATAAAAATTGAGGGAAAGATTTTTTTTCTTGCAAACTAGTTGCCTGGAACAGATATATTACTTAAATATCAAAACAGATCACCTGCATATAATTTCAAAGCATAATTTCTGATAAAGAAAAACTGTATCTCGTTTTCCAGAGAGCAGGAAAAAAAATCACTTTAGGCTTCAAAACAAAATCCTTCATGGCTAGCACTTAGAAATCATTACTTGTATCTTGACAGTACATGGTGAAGTATGCCATGAAAGGAGTCCCCATGTCTGTATTTCAACACTCACATGCTCCGTGCTCACCTATGTACAGCAGTATGTCGGGGGGTGGAGGCAGACACCACCACCAAAAAGTGTACATTTGCTAAATGCACATTTCAGTAGAACAGCAGCCTGATGGGAATGGTTTGGCTTAAACATTTACAGGTCAGGAGCAACCAGTGGGATGTGCAGCAACTCCTGAGCAAGTCCGGCACTTCCTTTCTCTCTCAGCAGAAGCACGGCACCAAACTTGCTTATTTAATGTCTAATAGTCCCACCTTGTAGGCACACCAGCTGCAGTACTAGCTGGGAAGTGCCTTACCTGCTTAGGAACTTCTGTACCTCCCAGCATTTACAAAAGCATCTCCTGAAAACAAGCCAAAGGATAACATTTAGAGTAATGCTGTGTATTTCTAAGTGACTAAACTGGCCCCCAAAGGGAAATAGGTGTGGAGAAGCAAGTGCACCGATACCCCAGGTGGATACAAAACGTGCTATGGGGAAAACTGCTTCACAGAAAGGCAGTCCTGGGAAAGCATTTAGGCCAACACTTTGGCGGTGAGGGAGGCCCAGCTTCCCACAACTCCCCTGCAGCTGTCCCCACCACTGTGTTACTCGCTGTGCTGTGTCAAGGTGGATTTGTGCTAATCAGAGACTGTGACAGGTATCCTAGCACGGTATTAAAAAAAAAAAGGCAAAAAAGAAGAAGGAGGGGGAAAAAAAAAAAAAAAAAGCTGCTCTGGGGGGGAGGAGGACTGAGGGCAAAGGGGGAAGCAGAAAGGAGAACTGAGAGGACATGATATCTAGGGATTGTGTTTGAACTGGCATTGCTAGATTAAACACACATCACACTACAGCCCCAAGCTATAATTTCACACCACTTCTAAACTGATTTAATGGCTAGCTGCCACCAGGTTCCTTACAAGCAGAAGTCTTCTTCTGAGTTAGCTCACTGAACCAGCCCACTGGGGGTTAACAGTGGGAACACACAGCCAGAATTTTTCCCTCCATGGCATCTGTCCTTTAGATCCAGACTAATTATTGACTTAAGACTGAGCCCTCCCTGTACACAAACAACACCCGCACCAAAATCTGGGCCGAATGGCTGTAGTACTCAAACTGACACGCTACCTTCTTGCACACCAGCTTCTTCACATAAACTTTACATCACTTTTGAAAATATAAAAGCACTACACAAAGAGTAATCCAAAATCCTCAAATACAAAAGGAGGATCAAAATGCAAAGAAATACATTTGCACGGGTCAAAGACCTAAAATAATTTAGCATTTTGCTCCTAAACAGGATTTGGAGTAACAGAATCACTTGCTTCCTCAGCGCTCCTACTTCTACTGAAAATCTACTGCAGCTTTTGCAAAAATGTCCAACAAAAATAAGAATTCCTATCTTGAGCAAACAGCGTGTACATGGCCTTTTGAATTGCTGCTGGCATTCAATTCTGCACTGGTATCTCTGGATCGTGTTAATTGTTGCTATTCTTAAAACACCTGAAAGAAACTTGAGTTTAATGAATTTACAGAACTACCTCACAGTAACAGCAGTGTGTGTCAAATGCCAATATCCTGACAAGCTGTCTATTCCTGTGCACCGCAAACAATTGCTCCCTATTATGTAAACAGCAGGCTCCATCTTTTTAACGCGTTTCCTATGGGGAGATTTCAGAAATGAGCTACACAGAGAAGTCCTTTCCCATAAGTGGATTTCCTTTTCTACTGGCTTACCAGTCCGATACCAGACAAATGCTGTATTACTCACCATGTCGGTTTTTACCTGGTTTTTTGCAAACACATTCCCAGTTCTGTTTAGCCAAGGATTAGCATGTTGGGTTTTTTAACAGCAGTAACCCATGCTGCGAGAGAATTCCTTCATTAAGGATCTGAATGAAGGATGAGGGCTGTTATATAAAATACACCAGAGCACTGATTAATTGATTTCACTAGGACTCCACAAAGGTTTGGACTGTAGGAGCAAGGCTTCCATTTTATTATTTTTATGCTTCCTCTGCTAATTTTAGCTTTTTAGTATTTCATTTACATATAGCGTGCTTAAGCACTTCCATATTCCTGCAAATTTCTGATAAAAGGCCATCCTAAAACTATCAAACTAGAGCAGACCTTTCTAATCGTCTCTCAGAAGAATGAGAGAGTAGGGCTCACTGCCTTACAGGCTGCATCTGCACTGCAATTAGGCGATATGACTGCAGTATGTTAGATATACTTCAAGTACACTTAATTTTGTTAGCCTCGTGTAACAAAACAGTTAAAACACAGAAACACGGACGTCACTGTAGGCAATTAATTTGAGTAAGCATCCAGTGTACAACAAAATGAGCCAGCAAACCCCTAACCGAGGACTATGTTACCACAGCTTTGCTACTGCTGGTACATGAACTAGTGAGATTAAAGCTAGCACAAGCATGTCTACACAAGCTATAATAATCACACTTCTAATTGCAGTGTGCATACAGGAGGAAAAGCATTTTGCTTGTTTTTCAGATCTACAGTGTTCTGTGGAAACAGACGTGTAGAAAACTGAGACCTACCACTTCAAATCATGTTAATGTGAATTTAGAGATGACAAAATAATCTCTTTCC